GCGCTGCGTTCAGGTCGCAGTCCGGTCTTCCGGGCGTGGGTTCGAATCCCACTTCTGACAATACACCTTTTTCCCTCCTTTTTGTTTCTCATGGCTTTCTCTTTTCCTGGAAACTACTTCAAAAAGAGCAATGACCTAAATAAAAATGAATTAAACCACCCAGGTTATGCGTGGTTTTGAAGAGTCAGGAAAGGAGTTGAATTTCTACTCCTGTCTGAAATATGGACGCACGAGAACTGAATTTAGGCTTTCCAAGTACTTTAATCGCCTGCATGACGTCTGTGCTTCAGCGTCTGTTTTCGGGGAAGTGGATACGCTCGCATGGAATGAAATTCCGTCTTTCTTTCCACCGACATGTTTATTTATCGTACCGACTCCGAATCTCCTGACTGATCTGGATCGTCACTCTCTTCCCCATCTTGTCCCACTTCGTCTTGATCGGCGCCCTCCTTAGGAGCGAACTGACAGGCTAAACGCAGAATCTCTGCTCTTGCTTTTCGGGAGTTTTTTACCTGAAAGATTGGGAAAGAATCCTGGTCACGAAAGATGGTTTACCAAGAGCTGTTCTGGGAGAACAAGAGAGGAAGAGGGATGAGACTGAAAGCGTTGCCAGGCACTGATCTCTGAACTCCTCGTTCGTTGAGTGCAAAATCATTTGCGAAAGCCCGTCGGCTACAGCTTTTAATAGCTTCTGCTGGTCGACTTGGCATCCCTGAGAGAAAAACGAGACAGAATAGCTCTTTCATTATTTGATTAATTGGTAGAACTGTGCATGATTCAGGACATTTAAATCACAAAAGCTCACAATTAAGCCTATTTTGATCTGGGAATAATACTGGGGAATGAGAATTTGAAAAGAAAGGCAATAATGAGACGAACAGGTATTTGCGTCTCATTCCTCCCTGCCATTGAAGACGAAATGATGTAGAAGCTTCTCTGTGACCTGAGGGGTGCTTGCGGGACAGCATTCAAGATCTTCTAACTCGTATTCTCAAAAGCTGATTGAGCACAGCGGTGCTCGTATACGCAAGGGTGTCATCTCAACCAGTTACACGCATCTTCGGCCTTCTTCATCTATGGTTAATTCTTATTTATTGTTGAACTCCCGCGTGAGAATTACGACATTCTGCGGGGCAAAGGGGAGGAATTCTGACATTAATCAGGAAAAATAGAATTCAGGAAAAATCGCCGAGAAGGCAAAATCGACTTTGAGGGAAGTAGAGGTCGAAGAAGCCCGAACTTGATCGCGCAGGTCGCCAATGCCAGAGTGGAGCTTTGGTGTAACTCGTGATATTGCTTGACTTTGAATCATGGGCCTGTTCTAGTTCGTGTTTTTCAAGGCAACTGAGCCTGGATTGAAGCTTATAACTGGTTAGCCATTATTAGATTTAACGGTCATGCAGGTCTTATAGGTCTGTAGCGCCACGGTAGGCCCTAAACTTAGATACTCCTTGGCCCTTACCCGGAAGGAATTGGACTCAAGTCATAGGTTTACGTTATGAGTTGGGTAGGTGTTATTCCTCTGTACAGACTAGACTTGGCTTTTAAATTTACATCTGGAAGTATCAAATAGTTGCAAGTGTCAGTGTAGGCTTAGAATATGTCTTAACTTAGGCCATTGTGTAGCCTATCACAAATCACCAGTGTCCGAACGCAGGGACGTGTGTTCGACTATTACCATGCCTCTATTTTGTTGAGTGAAAAAGTGGCGTCCTTTCAAGTACGTGTGTTGTCACCTCTTACTGCTTCTGACTCCCTTTTATGGAGCATCCATCTTGAAACTGTACTTGATGTCACAGACATTGCAGTGATTCAGCCTGCTGTTTGTTGATGTGATTTAAATCAACTCCTGGCTTGTATACCATGAAGCTCCTATAAAATTGGATGTTTGAAACTGACTGTTAAATTGCTGCACAATCTGGTCTTGAATGCATGAATCCCTGTGCTCATGTGATCCTTCTATTACTCAAAAATTATTCAGAATGTGGGGACATAGTGCCCATCTTCTATATTGGTGATTGGTCTATGTGAAAAATGTAAGTCCTGTTAGTTTACTCTGCCTTGCAGTCATACATCATCATTTCAAGACAGCAGTGCAGGTATACTTTCTTACTGGTTTTGATGCCAGTGCATTTACCATAGACCAAGGCTAAAATCTCGGTAAAGCCTGGAGGTAGGGCTTGCCTTCTCTTGTCTGAAAGATCTCTCTGTAACTATTGAACCATTAAATCCACTTAAATTTAACTTTTACATTTGAGGTTCTTCAGCTAATACCAGTCTATATTTATGGGGCTACCATTCAATAAAAAAGAACCATTGGTGCCCTGTTTAGCGTGTTAGAATTGTCATGGACTGATCCAAATTACCATTCTTGAAACTGCTTTTCTCTGTTCTTGGGTTTTCTTATGCATATAGAGCTATTGCAGTGTCTATTTAGTGTCATTTTGATCTTCTAAATCACTTTCTTCCTTGTAGTCAACCTCCATACCATGAGGTGAGCTAGAAGTAATGACATCAGTCCGAAAGCAGAAACCTCCTTTAGTAAATATGGTCTTTAGGAATACATAGACTCCTATGTGAGGAAAAGTACTCTGTATCTTAAAGGCCCCTTTATCTCCCCAAAATGAGATTTGTGCATTCAGACCTCACACTTTAACTATGTAAACATAAAACACTTTATGTAATGGTTTTCAGTTGACCATGGTTTTTGCATTTTCATGTTACAAAGTGGCTTAGGAAAAAAAATGTATGCACAAAAATGATTTTTAAAATCTGAATCAGAATGGGTAACAATTAAGTGTGTTCCCCCTAACAAAATTGCACTCCCTCAGTCTCCAATGTTTCCTGATGAATTCAAATGGAAACATGCTACATCAATTAGGATTTCTTTTATATATTGGGTTGGAAAGAAAGTAATGTTTTTTTCAACAATTTTATTGGATGAAAAAAAATCAACTTATTATTATTAATCCAAAATGTCCCACTCATTCTACAAATAAATCTCACCTTTCAACCAATTTTAGGATGCCCCTTTTGTAAAAGTCCACAGGTTTTGACTGGAAGAAGGTTGTCATGGCACCTTTGACTTCATGATGACCGGTGAATTTTTTCCATCCAAAAATGTTGTAAAGCTCTGAACACATGTAAATCACTTGGTGCAGTGTCTGGAGAATATGGAGGATGTGGTAAAACTTCCCATTGCAGTTCCTTGATTTTTTGGAGTGTCACTTTTGCAGTATGTGGTCAAGCATTGTCATGCTGTAAGATAACACCTTTCTGGTTCACCAAAACTGGTAGTTTTTCAACTAATGCTTGGTTTAAACATTCCGTTTGTTCACAGTAGATTTCTGCTGTGATGGTCTGATTTTCATTCAACAGTTCAAAATGAACCACTCCCTTCATATCCCACCAGTTGCATAGCATGACCTTTTTGGGGTGTAATCTGTCTTTTGGGGTTGCTATTGGGGTTTTACCTGATTCAACCACTGTCTTTTGCTTTTGACATTCGCATGCATCACCCACTTTTCATCTCTTGTGACAATTTGATCCAAAAACAGCTCACAATCTTGCTGAATACTCAAAGAAGAACAGGTAGACATTCTTTGCATAAGGTTACTCTCAGAAAAGTTGATGCAGCACCCAAACACTGTACTTCGAGACTTTTCTGAGCTTTTTTAAGGGCATGAGCACAGTGGTACGGGTAGTTGGAGTGTCTCATCTAGTTCACAAATGGTTTGTCGGGTCTGACTCCACCAGAGCTCACAGGTGTTCAACATTGATTTCACTCTGGCAACCAGAACATGAACAATCAGAGAGGCTAAAATTGCCTGAATGGAATTTGCAAAACCAGTGCCGACACTTATGAACACACTAAATGTCCTTACCATACATGTCACATATAGATTTTGTTGCACTTGCAGTAGTTTGGCCTTTTCTGAACTCATACTGCATGCAGTGCCAAATATGTGTTTTGTCAACACTCATATTTTATACTCAAAACATACAATGAAATAATTTTAGGGCTCTGAAAATTTTACAACCTGAGAACATGTCTTGTTTCACTGGATATCAAAAATAGACTTATACATTTAGATTAGAACAAGCTAGAACATGTTGCATTATGACTGCAAAAAACAACATTACTTTCTTTCCAACCCAATATAATAAACACCACCCCACCCTAACCTAACCTAACCTGCTCTAACTTAAGGAGCAACACAATATCCCTAGGGGGTATGCACATAACCATGACCATCAGAAGGAATGTGTCTACACAAGTGCAGCATTTTGGTTTCCCATGCTCTCCATTTCACGATCCATTTGGATACCATCAGCATGCCAACATGTCCAAAGATGGTCCATGTCTACATGCCCTTTGGTACATCTTCTCAGATGTGAAATTAAATTCCTATATGGTCATATCTATTAGGTGGTCAAGGACATGGATATGATGGGAGTAAACCTTGTCATTACAGTTCCTCCTCAGAAAGAAGTCTGATGGTGTTAGATCTAGTGACAGTGGGTTCACTTCAGCAACACTTGCCACATTTTCCCAGGTGCATCCTGATTTAGGCCTACCTGGGTATTTACATTCCAACCCAATTCCTGCTTCATGAGATGTTTTCCTCAGATGCATGATCATCTGTGTTGGTTCTGGTTTCTGAAGTTCCATTCTGCTTTGTAACTCTTTAACATTGTCTTTTACAGAAAATAATCTGATGCATCAAAATCTTTTCCCAAGAAGTAGTAGTTCCCTGTTATGCTGCTTTGTAAGCAGCCAATATATTGCTGATGAGCATGGCTACCTATCACACTTAGATGATGCTACATAGAATCATTCAAATGTTACAGTGGTTTAAAGTGAGTCATTAATGCCAAACACTATAGGATGAGCCAGAAGTAGTGTGTCTTAAAGCTTATTTCTCTCTGCCATCTGGACCATAAACTTTAGCCTTAGCTTGTGTTATATATTTGGCCTGTATGCTGATGTGTAATGATGGTCTTTGTGCATTTCCAGGATGAAAGTGCCTCATAAGAATAGGCCTAAAGCCCGATTCTCCTAGACTCTTGCATTCTTTCGTTAAATTAAAAAATATAAGAATATGGGAGCATTCCTAGAAAAACCTAAAACAGACAAGCACAATGAGGATGGAAGGGGAAATGGCTTGGCATATGGACTGGCATCAATGCAAGGTTGGAGAGTTGAGATGGAGGATGCCCATTGTGCAGTTCCTGGCTTGCCTGGGAGCCTGAAAAACTGGTCTTTCTTTGCTGTCTTTGATGGCCATGCTGGTTCAGGAGTGTCAGCTCACTGTGCTGCACATCTACTTGATTACATCATGGGGACAGAAGATTTCCGGAAAGGTACTGAAGACAATTCTGCTGAGGGAGTAGCATCTGGAATCAGATCAGGCTTCCTGAGTCTTGATGAAAGCATGAAGGAGGTCCCAGAAATTGCAAGTGGAGAAGACAAATCTGGAACCACTGCTGTCTGTGCTTTGGTTTCCGAGAAGCATGTATACATAGCAAATTGTGGCGATTCACGTGCTGTCCTTGCGAGAGCAGCGCGTGTTGCATTCTCTACTCAAGACCATAAACCTGTGAACCCGGTGGAGAAGGAACGCATTCAGAATGCAGGTGGAAGTGTGATGATTTCTCGTGTGAATGGATCACTTGCAGTCTCCAGGGCTTTGGGTGACTATGATTACAAACAGGTTGAAGGGAAAGGCCCTTGTGAACAGTTGGTGTCACCTGAACCTGAAATCTTTGTGGAACCAAGATATGAAGGCGATGAATTTCTCATACTCGCCTGTGATGGTATTTGGGATGTGATGGATAATGAGGATTTATGTGACTTCATTCGAGATAGACTACAAGTGACAGAAAACCTTTCTGATGTCTGCAACCAGGTCGTTGATGCATGTCTTAACAAGGTGGGATTTTCTTATCCAAGTGTATGCATTCTCTTGTTTTCAGCTCATTGTGTTTGATACTGTCTATTTTTGCCTGTTGATGATTGAGTTGATGTCTGACTTCACTTATGTTTCTCTTCCAGGGGAGCAGAGACAATATGAGTATTATCCTAGTCACGTTCCCCGGTGCTCCTCAACCAAATCCGGAAGCAATCAAGAAAGATCAGCATCTCAATGAGGTTCTGGAAAAGCGAGTTGAAGGTATAAAAATTATGTCTCATGAATTGCTGGTTTTGTGTTTATTTCAAAGAAAAAAAAGGAGAATAACTCTTGTGGCCATGCCTGTCAGTGTCCCTTTTTGTCTGCTGAGATAACAAGAATAAATTTCATGACTCCTTATTTTTTGCTTGAAAGAAATTCTGAAGGATGATCCAGATGCTGACTTGCAAATGGTGATAGATGTCCTTCAGGGTGATGAGAACCTCCCAGGTCTCCCACGTGGTGCTGGACTGAGTGCTAAGTAAGTGACTCCTTTTTGTTTTGAACTGTATTCCTTGTCTCTCATCTCTTGATCAAGGAATGCTGTGATGTGCTCATTGAATTTTTAGGCATGAAATCATCGAGAAAACCTTCAAAAAATTGAAACCAGAACCGGATGAAGATGATGAAGAAGAAAAAGTTAGTATGGTTCTTAATTTATTCACTTTCTTTTGGTTGGAGTTGAATTTTTGAATGTTTCTATTGATATGTATGTTTCAGGAAGTGAATGAGGCCCTTGAGAAGAGACTGGCAGGTGAGCATTTTACATTCCTCGCTTGCTATAGTGCAATTTTCTAATTGCTCTACTTGTATTTTCTAATGTTGTACATTTACAAGTTTACCATATTAATGAACTAAATGTTATAATCCTTTGCTTCTTTGATAAGTCTATGAGCCATTTCAAAACCTTTGGTTGATAAGAAGTTACTGGAGGTGAAAATCCCTGGGTAAACTTACTTATGAACCACCCTGTATAAAAAAATGATTTTCAGGGGAAATTCTAAAAGCAATCGTAAACCATCTCATATTGAATTATTAATGTTTGTAAGACCTCGCAGCAGAACAGCATTCCTATGCCAATGTAACAGGGAAAATAAAGAGCTTGTGTAACTATTTTCAGTATCTTTACTTAGAAGAAGCAAATCTAAAACATATCCACTTCTGCGATTGCCAAAGGAATCACAACTCTTGCTGGAGAGCTGTTCTTTCAATTTTTAATTTTTATGGGTCACTGGTGTTGCCCCTCAGCAGAGAGTCTGGATGGCATGGGTCCACATGACCAGGAAGGAGTGAAAATTTAACATGACCCCATGTTTGCTTTATCCAATCTTTTAGAATACCCAATCAAGCCTCAGTATGCCAGAAAATCGTGTCTCTAAACTGCCAGTCTCAATTTTATTACCAATCCCCTGGAGAGATTTTCCTTTCTTTTGTTGCCATTACACCCCTCACATCCTTTTCTCTTAATCTAAATTAATGTATTAATGACCACACAATTGCTTTCACTAGTAATTGTTCCTTGGCTCCACTCCACCAGATGAACCCTACTTTTAATATTGCAATGCTGTACATCTGCAACTCTTGCCATTGGTGAAGGGCAAAGTCAGTGCTACTGTCACTGTGTTTTTCAGGGGAACTGACCACTTAAACAAGTAGGAAGTCACACTCTCATGCAGATTTTTTTTTAACCCCTTGAACTTCTCTCTAACATTGTTCCCAACCATGGGAGAAGGAAGGGTTCTTCCTTTCCAATGTTTGCTTATGAGTACTTGATCTGACTGGGATTGAACATCCATCAGGTCCTATGGTCATCATCCTGTAGATGTCACATTATGTCTTCATTTATTTTGCTTTGTTCCTAAACAGAGATTGTAAAGGAAAATCCAGATGCTGACATTCAAGTTGTCATGTACCTGCTTCAAAATGATGAACACATCACAGACTTACTGCCTGGACACAAACTAAATTCCAAGTGAGTCTGTTGCCAGCTTCACATTTAAAGGCCTTTCTTGACATGCACTGATTATGTTGTGCTTCTGTCTCTTTTATAGGAGGAAATTCATTGAGAGCACCTTGCGATCCCTGAAAATTAAAAGCCTTTCAGAGGCTGTGGGAGTGAGTTGGATGACCTGTTGAGACATAGTTTTCTAGCTTGTACTTTTTAGAGGGTGATTTCATGTCTTGTTCCTCCAGGAGTTCTGAGGTTGGCTGGACTGCCTCTGTCTATCAAGATGGAGCTGCAAGACTCAGAGCACTAGGGAATAATGAGTGGCTTGAATTGTGAATTGAACTCTTCCATTTCATCTTTTTGTTTTCCTGTCTGTCACTCTCATTCTCCTAGCTTGTTTTTGCAAAGTCCTGCTCATTCAACGAGGTAATCAAGTTCTGCAGATGGAAAAGTGACTCACTTTTCCAGAATGAAGGCTCATCTCATCTTGCAGTATTCTCACCGTGTGCTTTTGTGCTTCGCATCACTCGACTCTCACACACTGTGCGACCTGTGTCCCGGGCATTTATCAGAGCTGTAGTTTTTTTTTTTTTTTTTTTTACCAGTTCACTCACTCCCCAGCCTCCATACCATGTGGTATCTCCTTTTCTGTGCACCGAGTTGATCACTGTGGAAACTGCACCTCGAGACCATTCACAGACCCTTGCCTTTTTATTTTGCTTTGTCTTTCCTGTCTGAGACATCCCTCATGGTGCTAGGTTATCATCACATGGTATTCTCAGACTGCAAAGCAGTGGGCAGCTGTCTATTATTTGTGAAGATGGAAAAATTATTATGCTGCATGATCACTGGTCAATTCTTGCTGTGCAACAGTTAGGCATAATAAATAATCAGTGTAACATCCTGAATCAGTATTCTATCTGAACAGTGAAGATGAGGAATGCTTAACAAATAAGGTTATATAGGTTCCTGATGTGAATGTTTTTGCTTTGGCTTTTGAGAACTGCAAGGAAGTGTGAATAGATCAGCCAGTTGTCAACAGGGCCTTGTATTGATTCTCAGTGCACATTATAAAGGACCAAGATCATGAAGTGTGATTGCCATTTATTGAAGTCCTAATGGACTAACCAGCGTCATGGTCCTTTTATTTGGTTTGGTTATTGATAATACTTTCTCTGTTGCAGCATACTGTGTTGCTACTTCTACTATAATTTTTTCCATAGGCACACTGTGACCTTCATCTTCCTAGCTTTTGGCAGTCTGCATTTGAATGGGTGCACAAGTTGCAGATGAACTTCTGTAATTATCACTAGATTACTTATAAGGGGTTGTGATGAAGATCGCTTGAGGGTCCATTTCTTGTAGGACCTCTAAAAAAATTGTGTACCGTACAGGTATTTCTGGATTTGTGGATGAGCAGCATTCTGTTCAGATTGTAAGCTGAGTCTCTTTTCAAGTATTTGTACCATTCCATGTGTAATATACCTACAAGACAGAAGTTGATTCACAACAGTGTGCCAACCTTATGAACCTCCTTATAACTGTGTCCATGATAGTCTGATTTTTTAAATTCTTGATGTAGGTGTTATTCCCCAATGAATTTGTGGGTGCATCTACTGGGTGATCTAAAAAAAAAAAAAAAAGACACTTTTTAGTTGCTTTTTCTCTGGAATAATTTATGGGAGTGTGCATCATATCAAGGAAAACTCCTAGATTTGGGAGACACAGCCCCTGGAACACAAAAACAGGATGAATGCCAAGTAGAACCAAAGAATCATATGGACCATAGGCCATAGTGTCTATTGTAGGAACAAGATGGAAGCACACTGCCACAGCTACACATATCTACAGTTCTGTATGTGATCCCAGTCATTAGCACTTGGCAACTTGGGGAAAGTGTGTGATTTCTTTCCCTCATCCTGTTTTGTCAGTGGCACTGGGCTACACAGTAGTCATACTTGAATGCAGTATGAATTGCCTGGGCTGTCTTGTGAGATGGGAGTCCCCTGCATAATCCTTGATGTACTTATGAATCACTTTTGCTGAACTTGGAAACCCTGCAATGTCATACATTAACTGAAAGGACAAATGCTACTATCTGTGAAGATGGGAAGTTTGCCCAGAATGTGCTTCTTAGGAAATGCACTCTCTGAGGACCTTCTGGCTGCCTACTGTTGGGGACACTGATGAAATGCTTGTGACTTATTGCATTATCTGCTTTTAATTTGTATTCTGCACACTCCCTACTTCATCCTTGAGCTTCAGGAACTATAGCGAAGAAAACTGGCTTTTCCTGGTAATCCTGATGCAAAATTCACTCAAGAACTGTCTGTCCAAAAAAAATGCCAATGAAAGTGATTTCTTACTGCATCACCCAGGGGCCTGTAATTACTGAGTCAACACTGTAAGATCTTTCCATTCCTTTTTCAGGAACGATGACCCCATTGGATATATCTGTGCTGAATGAAAATCCCTTTTGTACCCTCAATGTCTGCCCTACTTGCAAATGGCTCCTGTCAGAGATCCAATAATCAAACTCTGTTTCCTCAGCCATTTGTGATGTTCATTTTGGATTTGAAGATCGTAGGCTTCCTAAGGGAAGTGAGGTTTCCTCACTGAAGGAAACTGTCCAGTGCTTCCCTCACTGAGGAAACTAGGAAATCCCAGCATTTAGATGCACCCTGTGTTTAGTCCATTGTTCAAAAGCTCTGGATTTGAATATTGATACAGATGAAACTGATTTAATCAGTTGATCTATTGAGCTCTGGTGTCCATGTGTACAAGGGAAGCCATGCACTGCTTCCCTCATCACTCAGCGTTACATGCTTCATTTCTCCATTTCATGACCCTCCATACATTGGCAGGGATGCAGCATTCATGTTTGGTGTCTTGAAGTTGATTCTTGTAGGCTACAGCTATTCATGGCACTCACTGAAGTCTCTGTGATGATGAAAACCTGTTCATTGTCAGATTGTGACAAATGCTCTGGTTGTGACCTGAGATGTCAGCAGACAGGTCCTATCTATTCTCGTTTGGAATGAGGAGGGCTCTCGCACATTCTCTTTGAGATGTTTCTCTGTTTGTTCATGTTAGCAACCAGTTACATTCATTCATGGTCATCTGGTGTGCCGAGAAATGGTCTGTCACCTTCCGTCTTGTTGTGTGATGGCTATTTTTTTGTTTCCTTGCTGTTGCGCTCTCAATTCCTCTCCTCTTCTCATGTTCTCTTCATCGCTTAGAATGGAGGCTTAGGTTGATGAGTAAAGGAGTTCATGAGATGTATGAAGATGTGTGCCATTGATTTTTTGCCAACAGGATGTCTTGACATTTTTTTAAATTTCAAAATGTATCTTTCCATATGGCAGTGAGGCAAGGTAAGACTGCCAGGGTCTGATCCCAGACCATGCCACAGCTCATCCAGTGGAGTACAGCCCCTTTATCACAATTTGGTCTCATGATTGAATTGATTTTCACTTTTGGTACAGTGATTTCAGTTTGTGAAGGCAAAGCATACAGGCTTATGTTCAGTGAGTATTACACCAGAGTCAATAGCTTTTAGATGGTGGTCACAATGACTTCTAGACCAATGTGGTAGTCAACTGATCAATAATGTAATATTTTATGGCAGGTCATCAATAGACTTTCTTCATAAACTATCACTTAATCACACCATACTATCAATCCAGCCCTTGACACCTCCTTCAGTTTCACTGCTTTGATTTTCCTCCTCTGTAAGACATCCATCCTTGCTGATGACAAGGTAAACAATTTATTTTGGCAAGCTGAAGAAAATTAATGGCATTTCAAAGAATTCTGAGACTCCTGAACATCTTGCTCTACTAACTACATGGACTTAGTAGTCACCCACCAGTCTTAAATTTAATTGAAATAAAAGGGGGGGAAGGGCATTCATAGATATTGACAGCCAATCCATGCCATTTTTTCCATTTATTTGATGAGGATGTGCAAAATGAATTTGGTGGTAAGGGACTTTAGGGGGTAGTGAGGAAAATGTTCATCTCATATGTAAAGGGTGGATTTAAATTACCTAGACACTGCTCAAATATGATCTTAAAATTTGAATCAGAAAGCAATGCAGTATCCATCTCTATGGACTACACTCGAAGTTCTGCTGCGTCAGTCAAGTCAGATGCAAGAGAATTGCTTATTGAAGATTGGAAGAAATCATGAGGGAAAAATGTGACCAACATTCTCAGCTCTGCATGACTTTATTTTGACCTGATATGACTTAACATGGGCTTATTTTTCTCACTCTGGTACCAGGAACCATTCAACATATGTGGAAGTTTTTGCAAGGAACCAGAAAAATTGATGTAGAAAAAAAAGTATTTTTTTCTTCATTTGAATATTGTCTGTGAGTGCAAAAAGGTCTGGATGATCAAAAGTTTTCATGTTTGCTGATATTTGGACCTGATAAGCTAATACACATAACAGTACTAGCTCTACTACTGTAGCAATACAAGTCCCAGTAGTGAATTCTCTCTTTTAGGAAATTCATTTTGCATAGTCTGTAATAGATATCCTTTTTTTCATTCCCATAATTTGGGCTAACATCCCTACTCACAGTTACATAATGACTGGAGTCCATAGCAGAAGATGCTGTCATCTTCAAGATTTTATATTGAGTTTTGAAGATTGGCTAGTTATTGTTTAGCAATTCTGCTGCAACAGTTACACTACTGTTGAACTTTTATTTCTAAAATAAACTGCTCATGCAGGTAATTGTAATCAAGAAGGTAAAATATATAATTTGGCGACTTACCTTCTTACAGTGCATTCACTGCTTTGCAGTCCACCAGTGGGTAGCAAAATAAAAAGGTGAGTTATATACTAACAACACAGAAAATTTCTCTCCTTTGTCCAATGCCAGAAGCCCTGCTGAAACACATCCCTCCCATATCCTCATCACTCCTGAATGGCATATATGTGGCCATTTGAGTTGTCTCTTCTACAGCAGATTCTAAAATATATATACAAACATTTGGTTGGCATGTTCTTTTACTGTGCCCATAGATTGATAACATGAACAAGTCTGCACACACGACCGATGAGACAAAAGACTTCAAAGGGATGCATAGAATGCCAATAGTGAAAATGCATCAGATTTCAAGCTAAAATTTTAGCTTACTACACCAAAAATAACTATTTTACATAGTTTCTTTTTCTTATGAATAACATCACAAAGAGTAATTTTTTTTAATTTAAATGATAAGGTGAATTTGGTTCTAAATAACAATCAAGTAGGCTATCATCACCAACAAAGCCAATGCCATTCTCATGCAGCTAGTTCAAAATGGCATCAGAAGACAGCTTCTGTTCATTTAAAAGAATAGGACTGCTGAGTTGCTATAGCTTTTGTCCTAATGTCCACATCTGTTGACAAATAATACAAAGGAACCTTTTATACTGGGACCCAATTTGCACATATGTGGACAACATTTTGTAAATCGTTGCATCTCATCACTCTGAAGATTTCAGAGGGAAATGATATGATTGGTAGTTGGGATTGATAAAGCATTACCAAATTAGGATAAATTTTATTTTTTTTTATACCAAACACTGATATAATGAAAGAGAAAAATTTACAACATGGTGCTGGCAGCCATCTAGATATTTCCACTGTGTGAGTCATAAGAAAGCTCATAATTTGCCACATTTTGTAGTTTTTCATTGAAAATAACACTGGTAAGAGGATGTTGCCATTACTTTTGCTTGAAAGAAAAAATTGGATGTATTTGTCCACAAATGTGTGCCAGTTCTGACCAGGATATGACCCCTTAACACATTCATGGATTTGTATCCCTTGCATGATTTTTATTCTGCATCTTATAGAGTTCCCGTTCCATGATTCATTAAGGTCAGTTTCAAAGTTACTTAGGTAACCCCAAACTCAAAACAAATAAAAACAAGATTGTGTTATACCTTGAATATGATTTATGCAAGTGTTACAATGATCAAAATGGAGTGCTGCAAGGGAATGATAAACCATTTCATGTCAGTGTCAGTGGATCCCTTATTTGATATAAGTTTTGTATTCATACAGTTCAGTCAAATTAAGTTGAAGGGAATGTTTGGAAAACAATTTATCCTACTTTTGTTCCAATTAATCTGGAAGTGCCCTTAACAAAATCATGCTGGGTGACTGATTCAGGCAATTAGTATGACCCCCTTGCCCCATTTATATTAGAATGTTTGACAATTTTTCACTGTGAATATTCATCATACCCCCTTGAAACTCTTGAAAGGATTTCATTGCACACTTCTACGAGTTTGTATACCAAATTTCATTCTCATTTCCCTGGTGATTCCTTCTTTTGTAGAATGAGGGCATGAGCATGTTCATATGACCAGATTCATTCCCTGATGCTTTCTTGTTCCTTTTCCAATCATTGCTACTGGCTAATTATCTCCCCTATCTGCCCACTTTTGCTCTGATTTCCTGCAAGCCAGTCTTGCAACCTCACCTACTTAATGGAACTCTGTTCACTCTCTGTATGCACAAATCTCACTATTTTTGGATTTTCTACACCATTCCCACCATGAAGGGATCCTCAGTCAACTGTATACATTTGATTTACCATTTTTTTCATCTTAGGTGCACGTGAGCACCTTTGTTTTAAGGTGCAATGCTGAAGGAAAGATTCACATGCAAATGTAATCATGTCATCATTGGTGAAATGCCTTGCATGTGCTCAAATTTTTCCATGCCTGAAATCCTGGATGCAGCCCCCAATTTTGACACAGGTTCGATGGTTCATTAACCCTGATACTCCAGGCAGCAGGTAAGACCCTCATTAACTTCTGAATTTTGCATCATTGGAGGTTTAGACACTTTGGTGCCTTCCAGGAACAAGAAGAAGCATCGAAAGCTGTGGTCGAAAGATGAAGAGGAAGAAGTGACCTTGACTACATTTGTCCTGGGGAGCAAGGAGGGATGGTTTGATAAGGAATTTTGGGCCAAACTCCAAATGGACTGGGACTTCAGACCATCAACTGTGTATCGATGGTGGTGCAATCGCCAGTACCAGCTCATGGTTTCTGATCAGATGTCGGTCATTTTCCTTCAGGGTCATCAATGTGATGATTTTCTTTTCATTTCTTTTGATTGGATGTCTATCTTGACCCAGGTTCATTGAGGAGAGACATGTGACCTTGGGCTATGAGCTTGGTGCAGCCCATTTCTTAGTGCATCGTTTTGGAGCAGTGAAATTCATAGGGCAAGAAAACTGGATTGTACGTGATGGGGAGAAAGGGAATGACTATCTTTCATTGCCAAGTGTGTATGATCCTAAATATGTACTAGAAGCCATTGATGCATCTGGAACATCCCTCATGTATGAGGGTCTTCAGAATATGAGTCAGTTCAATCCTTTGCTTCATGTACTCAATTTTGTGAATCATGATCATTGCTAACTATATTTCTGCAGTTGAATTGAAGAAGCTCAAGTGGCTTAGTGTGGCCGACTGCAAATATATAGATGACTACTGTCTGGATCGCATTTCTGCTGAATACAGAGATACATTGGAGTATCTGGATGTCAGTGGTTGTGATCAATTGACTGAAAGAGGTCTTTCTGCCATATACAGACTGAGGTAAGGTCTCAGTGTTCATGTCAATGAGCAATATCAATTTTCTGGATTCTGCATGGCTTCTATTTGTCATCCCAGAAATCTCAAGGTCCTGTGTATGAAAAATTTGCCAAACGTGGATCATCTGCACCTGGTATGTCTCATGCTGGAAGAGATGAAGCCACACCTGCAGATTGAGGTTGATGTTGACTACTTGGATGTAGAAATCCTTGAAAATCCCCCCGAATCAAAGTTCAAGTTCATTGACGATCCTGTTTGTGGAACTACCAGGAAAGCACGCAAGTATCTTGTGCCCCCTCGTTACCTTCCTGCTGGTAGAAAGAAACAGGACAATGAACATGGCAACATTCAAAAGTGTGATAATACTGTGCAAGCATTGGAACCATCTGGATCCCCTAGCTGATTGCTGGTGCTCTATTGTAGATGAATGTTGTTGGATTAATCAACTAGGTTGGCTATTTGCAATAAACATTTTTAAAAGAATCTTGGAGCTTCCTTGTTTGATGTATCTAACCTTGTTTTGAAATAGCTTAAGATTTATTCATGTATATTTATAAATTCAGTGGGATTTTTCAGAGCAGAAAGGTGACTTGTCCAGACTGTGATGAACAGACTCAGTACACTGGAAAATTCATATTTGAGTCTCAGAAGAAGTGGGAATATTCTCAAGAAATGGGAAATATTTGAAAAGAGAGACATTTATAGTCCACAATGGAGCTATTTATCCTGTGGCCAGTTCCTGTGCGAATAAGTGTAGCTGATTCATGTCGCTCAATATATCGTCTCTCATAAGGTGCATGGTATATGCATGTGCAACTTCATTTGGGGTCTATTGTGGAATTCTGAAATTTGTTGAACATAGTTGATGTTTCAGCAAAGAAGCTTTTAAGTCTCTGCTGATGAGCGTTTGACTGTAAGCCCCTGGTGATCTTCAGCATGCCAAGTAAACTCTTTTGAGCCTTTCAAGAGGTTCTCAGAAGGAATGTCAGTAAAGCTATTAGCATATATTCAAACATTTACTCTTGGTTTTCTAATTTTGCTCTTCGTGGTTAGGAACTACAGTGTCTCAAAAAAAAAGTTAGCGTTACAGGAACTGTCTTTTCTTGTGTTACATTTGAATTTGAATTACAAAATTGAATTTTGTAGTAGTTAAAATGAAAAGATTAAGCTTTCCACTGCTGAAGATTTTTCGAAGATCAATGAATTCCGAAACGTGATATTGAAATAAGATGTTGACATGAGCAAAATTCAGACATACTGATGATCCACTGCAGCAGTTATACGAGGATCCAGCACGGGAAGGACCCACCTTTAGCTGGTTCTTGAACGTTTGTCAGCAAAAATGCAGCAGTATGTGTAACTTTTCCATATCTCGCTCCAGAAATTGTTCATTTCTTTGTGGTTTTCAGCAGGTGAAAGCTTTATCTCTTCTCTTTCTGACTGATTTTCAAATTTCAAATTTCAAATTTCTTTTGCAAAATAATACCAGAAGTGTTCATTTTTACAGCATCAACTCTATTTTTTTAAACACCCTGTAAATCTTAATCAACAAATCAATGTCGAAGCATTTTACGCCGTGACCCATTGCATTTATTGCTCTCACTCGGATGGGAACTCGGAATTTTGTCCTATTTATACTTATTTTTTTAAGGGAACCCGCAGAACAAGAAATGGGTTGTCCCCATTCTTCTGACAGCTGAAAAAAAAAGAAGTCATGATGGATAGGTTCTTTTCTTCCAAATCCAGGAAGCAAATCTAGGCATCCGAATAATAAAACATTATTATATAACCCCGTCGTTGCCCTTGCGGAGATTCCCACCGCGGCACTTAAGCATGAAAGCCCATAACTTTGCGTCGCTGGTGGCCTCGGCGGTTCATCGAATGCAACGAGAGACCCAGCTCAGACATTTTCTCAAGACATTTCCGAGACGATTGCAGCCGTTCCCCCCGCGGTTCATGGTCTCTGCACTCGAACCTTTCCGGGGCGAGCCTCGGTCTCGGCCGAGTTTCACAATGCCGGTTTTACGCAACATTAACATTCAACCGGTTATAAGACCAGCTAGACCCTTCCCGACGACTCCTGCTTTGGAAACGCACACATTAAAATAGCGAGTTGCTCATTACTTAACTCATGCGAGTTCTCTTGCCGATGAGTTGAGTCATTTTCCATCTTCCCTTTCTTCTGCTCAGCTTTTTTTTTTTTTTTCCTCCACTTTTTTTTAATGGGGCTCCCTCCAAACAGAGGCATCCCATCCCGCTTTTGTCTTTGCTTCCCTATTCTTTGTTCCAGAATATTTAAAGCTGGTTAAATATGGCATCGGGGTGGGCGGAAGAGACACGAGGAGATGAACTGCTGGAATTTTTCGTCGTGAAAGTTCTTTTTTTTTCCTCTCAAACCATCATTCGATTTCTTCTGCACTCAGGAAGCCTGCCATAAATTCCGATTGCTTCTCAGGGAGATATTGGAAGTTATTGGAAGTTATTGGGAGTTAAAAAGGAAAGCTTTAAAAATGAAAATTTCCGAAATAACTCATATTTAAAATAGAATTAACAATTTAAAAAAAATCTACTTTAATTAATCCATGCTGCCAATGGAGAACAAAAAACTTGAAAGCTTTGAAAATTGCATGTGCAAAAAGCATGTGCCTCCTTTTCCCCATTGCCAAACTGAAAGAGGCGTTTCCATTCTCCAAAAGAGAGAAAAAGAGAGGCAGGATTAGGTCAGATTAAGAGATTCCTCACGCCCCCCTCTAATCCCTGGCGTCCATACCAAAGCTAAGTCATCCCGCACAATCTCGTTATCAACCGATCAAAAGGAAAGGCCGACAGCATGTCATTTTTTCCCATGGTATAATCATTGTAGCACGTACGATATGCTGCTTGGCACTATATCGAGTACGACTAACGTTGAATAAGGCGCGTTTGTGCAAGGCACATTGCAAGGTATTGACATGCAAGGTATTGGCGGATGGCGGCTTGTGAGGGTGGCGCTATAACGGGGGAGCGCCAATGATAAGCCTATGAGAAAGATTCGTTATCGGGAAAGAGTTGGCGCTAAGCGAGAGGAGCGCTATATAGACGGTTGACTGAATATATATATATATATTTGAGGAGTTGCAGAAACGCCATCCTCTTGATTGACTTTTAGCGAAAAACACAGAAATTGAGTTCTCCTGTGAATTGTGACACGAGTCGCTTCGTTTATTTTTTCGCCAGGAAAATGTGGAATCTTCTACCGCCAACCACGAAAATGATCTCATTCACAGACGCACAGACTCGCTTCTCTTCGCCCCACGTAGAAACCCTCGCGTGTCACCGCAGGAGGTCCATGACGTCACGAAGACCCCCCCCCCCCCCCCCCCCCCCCCCCCCCCCCCCCCCTCCATGCCGCCCCGAGGCCCCCCCCCCCTCCCCCTCCCCCTCCACCCAGGACCGGATGTCAACAGCATGGAGACATTTCCCCGAGAGAATCGACGGCAGGCACAAGGCCGATAATGATCCGGTCCCACGCTCTACTGCGGAGTGCCTCTTGTTCGCGGGCGATTCTTGTGCTCCGAAGTCTTGTTTCCTTGGTGTTGGTTTTACTCCAATTTATGCCAAAGGGTTCTGAACTTAGTCATATTTATTAGATACTATCAACCCCTATAGTAAATGGGATAAGGAATAAAATCTAAGATCCTCGAAACTGAGAAAGAAATTGAAGGCCGAGGGGACTTCATACTTGAATCTAGAGAATACTCACGCTGACTGGACGATGCTTATTCATTTTTTTGTAATGCAAATGTAGTCAACCATGCTCGAAGAGTGGAATATGAAGGGGGCATAGGCTCCTTCCTTTTACTCATGCTGTTCAATTCGAATATATTTTCCCCTTGAAGCTTCAAAGAATAAGTTTTTGGTCGGCTGAGAGACTCTCTCCGGCTTCGAATCGAAGAGCTCAGGGAATATGAGGGAAAAACGAAGGCGGGAAAAAAAAGCGAGGTCCCACCGAGATTTGAACTCGGATCGCTGGATTCAGAGTCCAGAGTGCTAACCATTACACCATGGGACCAGCTTGACTGCAAATGCCGAGAAGTGACTATATGGTTCTGGCCTGGCCCGGCTCCCCACTGCGCATGCGCCGCCTTGGGAGAGCGAGCTCGCAGGCTGCAGCCTGAATTCTCTCTCATTGCCAGTGGAGACGGCGTCGGGTGCGGGATCCGCCATCCACGCGTCCAAGCCGTTTCTTCGCAGTGTGAGCGTTGAGTAGCTCTCTTTTGGAAAATAGAACGGCATCATTTCCTTGTTGGCTCTTTGCAAACCGAGATGAAAGATAAGGTAGTATGGCTCCATGGATCCCTTGATTTGTGCTGCGTCAAGCGACCTACTTTATCTTTGCGGAACTCCTTAGACACTAGAGAAATCAGTATGCATGCAGGCTTTCCCAGCCCAACCGGACCCGGCTGACCCCATAGCGTTTCCGGATTGTTTACTCGTCCCTTGTTTACTTGGACTTTCTTATGAACCCTTCCTCAGAAGTTCTCCCTCGTTGAAGGGTGCACATCGTTACACGATGCTTTTTCACTGTTAGTGACAATTGCAGTCAATAGGTGTCTCTCGAGTACCCTCTGTGACATCACCACTAAGTACCTCTCGAATGCTCTCGACAGCAGGGTCACGAACGGGGAGGGAGAGGGAGTCGATTCGAGAATGTGATGCTAATGCACCGATGCAAAGTGTAATCCATCTGGAGTGTGAGTCGCCTTTATTGATTCATCGAGGTCTCAGGTGCCCTCTAATCCGGGAAGTATAGAAAGGATAGTTATTAAGTCGTGGAACCATTAAGTCGTGGGTCTGCAGTCGTGACCGTGTTTTACATCCCCAAACAAAGCAGTTCATGCAATACATCAGGCAAGGCTATTGTTACCTTGCTGAGGGTGAGCTGAGATAGTGAAGCCGGAGACGGGAGGGGGAATGCGTAACGAAACAAGCTTACCGCGAAGATTAAAATCATTCTTGCCTTCCATAAAAAAAAAATCACTAATATCAAATCGGCTTCCGCATCGGCGAGATCATCGAATTGAGACTTGAGCAATGGCAATGTCGCTTTCAAAGGTCCGATTCTCCAAAAATGGAGCGCTAGATGCAACTTTCAGATCATTATGTCAACGATTTCTTTTATTTATGAGATCCCGTATCGTGCACGGCTCCGAGTCTCTCTCTCCGCCTGCCTTAAATATGCATGAAGGAGCAACGACATCCCCAACGATAAAAGCGGTGGAGCAGGTCTTGCGCAAGTTCCTCGATTGCCATTACGTCTTAATCCTGTTTTGGACTCGACGGCCCAAGGCAGGGCACACAAACCTTCGAATTTTTCGAATTCGGCGTTCCAGAACGGCGAAGTTCTGCGAATCGCCCCAGTGCGAACAGAGAACCAAACTCATCTCAAAACGCGAAGGAAGTATTTTCTCAGCCGTTCCCTCCGGCTTCGGTCCGTTTCCCCCCTCATCGAGCACGTGTTCGCACAAATCACCTCCGACGAGGAGGGAAAGAAAGCTCGAGGCGAGAAAACCGACAATAAAAAAGGCTTCGACCTCGCGTGCTACAAGGATATCTGAAGGTGGAAACAAAAAAAAAAAATCGAATCGCAACGGTCAGCGAAGGAGGGTAGGATCGAAGAGCGTTGCGTCAGGTGAAGACGCAACAGACACAACATACCTGCGCCGTGACGTCACAGCTGCCTCGCTGCCGAGAGAGAGAGAGAGAGAGAGAGAGGGGCGCTCGGTGCAGTGTGCATGGGGCCTAGGAGGGCTGCTCGCGATGCTTCACTCTCCCCGTGAGAGCGAGTGGAGTGCGTAGTGCTGTGCGGAGGTGCTCGTTTCATCGGAGAGAAGAAAGCCGTTGGAGAATTAAACCTTATCTTATCGTATCGCAGGGGGATGCATGGGGACGAGTCAGTGTGCGAGAGGACAGTTTCGCCGTCCGCTCTAGCCTAGGAGACAATGGACGGAGACGTGAGGTGGTGGTCCGTGTTCGCGGAAAGGATTCTTCTCTGTTGGTTCCTCGTGTGCCTCGTGTTTGCACGGGGTTCGAACGAGATCGGCGGTCCGGTCGGGAGTTCCGGATTGTCCCTGACCCGAGATGGAAGTCCGTACGTCGTCCGGTTGGACCTCGACGTCGCGGAAGACGGGGTCCTCAAAATCGAAGCCGGAGTCGAGATGCTTTTCATGCCAGGGGTCGGGATCAACGTCAAGGGACAGCTTCATGCCAGCGTGAGTCCTCGTCCCTCGACGATTCACGATTCCGCGACTCCGTCGTTAATGGGTTTCGCGATCGGAGAGAAAGGATGGCCCGAGTCTACCCATCCGGCCGCGTTTTTGCATCAGGCCTAGGCTAAGGGAAGCGCTTTCCCTTTCACGTGCCCCGACCTCGCGCTGGTGAGAACCTTTATAGGCACGAGCGAGCCACGTATCCCATCGAGTGGCAGATGTAAATCCATGGAAGTCCGTATAGCTAGGCCTGTTGGTTTTGGCCAGGGCGTGATAACGTTCTTTATTATCTGAGGTTCATATACGGAGGAAACGCTGTTGTTTTGATGCTTCGAGCCCGTGTGATTCCCGACGTGGGGGTGATTGACACGAAAGTTCCATTGTGAGGAGGAAATGATGTGTCGGGGTAATCCGGGCCGGAATCCCAACTGTTTTTCTCACGCTGCTATCACTCGAATCAACAGAAAGGAAAAAGAAGTCACGCTCCGGGCCTTGCATTCATTTCCACGGAGGGGAATCCTTTTCATGAAATGCTTCCCGTCGATTGAAAGGTCCTTGAGAAACGTTTTACGCCGAGCGAGACCCTGCGACTCTTTTGCTCCGATGACTCGCTGGGTTTCAGACGATTTTTGTTGCCGTTTCATTCGCGTCACGAATCGTCACATGGGCATGGGGAAGTACCAGTACTAGTAAAGGCTTGCTACCCGGGCCTCAGTACTCAGTACGTCCCCTTGCATACGCTTCTTTTGTGTGATCTTGGTTTTTCCGAGACATTACACGCTCCAATTCGCATGCTGTTCTTTTCATCGCGAAAGAGCTGCATGGAAAGATGAATCATAGCTGGAATTTTTTTGTTCTCGGCCATTCTGGTGACTGTTCGTGTGACGGGAACGAATGATTCAGGTCGCAGTGCCGTATGCTCTCGTCCCCCTTATCTCGGATGACCGTACTTTCTCGGCCCCGATTGCGATAGGTGGTGACCCATCTCGTTTTTCGCCTCTCGTCGAGTTCTAACAGGCAGCTCGTGCGAATGCCTCGGGGCATGGCATGTATTTAATGGAATTACTCGTGAACGTTAGCGTCGCCACGTGGAGGCATAGAAATCTCAAGGATAAGCCTTTCCTCGTGGTCCTTGGACTTTCCCCCGGCGTTTTCTTGATTGCAGCTAACAAGTTCGCGAGCTTCAAACGGCATGAGTAATGCCGGATGACTGCATGCCGACTCGCTTAGAGCCGCCGTTTCCTCACCCTTGTTACATGCAACAATAGCGTATGATTTCAGCGGTTTCTTTGCGTCTATGGCTTCTCGCAACGGTTCCGTGTAATTCCCATTTCTCTGGGGGCCCCTATCGAGATCGAAGTAGGTCAGGATTGAGTACATTTCCATCTATTTCTTCTTCCCCCTGTTTCCCAGGCGAGGACGAGGGGATAATAAAGCTCGGATTGAATTTCAAAGGCATCGACCCCTGAATAGCCGAGATGCTCGATAAAGAGAAGAATGGAGCCTCAGTTCTTCTCTCCTTCACTTCCTTCCATGGCATTCTTGTGCGGCCGCATCGGGAAGATCGCGATGACGGCTCCGATGGGAGAGGGATGGCCGTGGAGGGGCTCTGGCCCTCGCTTCGCCTGAGCGGGGGCGGGGAGATTGGGTTTCAGTCTTCTGGGGTGCGTGGATGAAATGTTGTCACTCGGGGAAATGTCGCGATTTTTCCGAGGGGAAGGAGAGCGTGACGTTTTTCGACGCGAAATAAAAATAAATTATTTTTAGAGTAATGTCGCAAAATCGACGTACATCGTACAAAAAAGAGAAGAGAAACTCAGCCACATGCCGGTATTGTTGGCGGTGATGGAGGACTTCACGATCGCCGTACGGAACTTTTTCCTGCTTTCTCGCCACTCGATCCGTTTCTTCCCATTTTGTTCGTTTATTGGAAATAAAATAAAATCTTAATTCTCCAACAAAAATAGATTTCCGTCCAGAGGGAATAACGAAATCGGCGGGTTCAAAATTTTGTGGAATAAAGTAAATTGCGAAAAATGTTCATCTGCGAAGAAGGGCCCTACATCAATTTTGTGAAAGCTTCTAGTCACGATTTTGTAACATCTTTATCTGGTCATAGTATCTCGGGAACACTTCCTCCCTACTCTTGAAGGGAGTAATGCAGTTAAGCAGAGAGTACTCTGTTTAACAAACAATACTTTTGAATAGTTTATTGAAAGAGTAATAGTATGTATTTTCATTAGTCATGGAAAGTTTCGTACTTAAATATCCATTTATTAAACTAAAATCACATGAATTAAATCTTTTTTTTTCAAGGCTCTTTCATGAGTACTTTCCTATAGGAAGTTGAGCGATGAGAGTCTCGTTTGGAAATGTTCGATGGTAAAACCACAGCAAATAATGAATCGAGAATGAAAGGTTACGCTTGCGGAGGAGGCATAAATGGTTAGATGATTGCCCGCTTCGCGAATGCCTCCGTGCGTACTCTCGTCAATCATGGAATATGATGTATTCCCCCGAGGACCATCGAGCACGGAAAAACCTCATTCCATTTGCGACTCTTTCGAACAGGGGAGCCCGCATTCGAGGATCCTGATGACGGCAGCGACGATCCCGAAAGGGATGATCCAGCACGAGAGGGATGCGAACGTCCGACTCGTGGACGGCCCTTCCCCCGCCGTCGGGCGACTCCAGCTCTACCACAAGAGCAAGTGGAGGTCCGTTTGCACCAACTCCAGAAAGTGAGTCTCCCCCGCTCCTTCCTTATTTGCTCCGTGGGACGTCACAAAGACTTCATAAAGACTCTGGGCCCGTGACGAAAGGAGGATAATTGCTGCCTCCAGAGTCGTTCACCTTTACTCAGAACAGACGCTCTGTTTCCTCTGACTTTACTTTTTTTTTTCCCCTAGGGTGAAAACCACTAAATGCTCTCCTTCTCCTCTTTCTAAACCTGAATCCGCATTTCATGGCTTCGGTGAATCGCAGTCGTAAGGAAGAGTTTTCGTGGGGAGTAATTTGACGGAAGTCGTTACGGCTACGTCGGCTCAATGACGTTATTAACCTCTGGTGCATGGATAATCAGCTGAAACTCGCGGAGCGTGAACTTCCATTAATGGGCCAGGGTATCCTGATGTGTTTCACCGTTTTCTGACCTTTCCTTCCACGTTCTGAAACCGATTTTTCGAGGCGTGGGGGGCCTCGAAATCGGATCAACCCGGAAGCAATCGACTTGATTTACGACATGGGAGTTTGGTACAGGTTGTTTCATAAGCGATGGGAAAGGGGAATGTTGAGGTTTGTCCCTTCCCCCATCCCCCAGTGTCCGGAATGAAAGGAATGTCTCCAGCAGACGTAAATAGACCCCTTTCTCTCCTCGATGAATAGCCATTTCTGCCCTCTTGAACTGAGTTTACCTTTCCCGCAAATACAGTTTATTATATTTGGCTTGTGGTTCAGGACATCGGCGGTTTCTTTTTTCGAACCGTGAAGAGATCATCGACCCAAAAGGAGCAGCCGAGTGTGCTGATATATCTGAGGGATTTCTGCTAGGGGGATTTCTAGTTGCGTGAAGCATGTCTTCCATAATAAACGAAGGAGATTCCTCGACCATGCCGAAACTAATGAGTTTAATGATGATTCCTGGCGGGAAGGGACGCATATCCCCCGTTTCCTTCCGGGGATAAATGGCAGGGTTACGTTATGTGTCCTTGACGGGGGCGGTCGAGGAGGAACAGATTGACCGACCTTAATAGAGACTGGTCTGGATATTAGGACCCACTAACTTGGCAGGAAGTGGGGCAGGAAGTTCGAGTGACCGGAATTCCTGTCCCGCCCTCCACCGTTCTTTTATATCGGTCGGCCATGTGTAGACTTAGCCTGTATCACATGCTTCGATGCGTATACATAGTAAGTAACGTGGCCTCACCTTCTTTCATGTCGAAAGGGGAAAAGAAAAGAGCCTCTTTGTCTCATCTCGGACGCTCAATCGATGACACGTGACTGTCCGGCCCTCACGCGACCGTTGGGTCTCACCCTTCCGGGAACGATCGATGCGTGATTATGCATGACTCACCTGGGTCAGGAGTTATGTACGATGAGTCGTGTTTTTCTGGTTGCAGTTGGACGGTGGTGGATTTCCAGGTGGCGTGCCGCCACCTGGGTTTTGGGGGAGGAACGTGGTATCGATGGTACGACCACCGGAACCATTCCCGCCATCTCGTGTTCGAGGCCCCCAACTGCAAGGGAAACGAGGATTCCCTCTTCAAGTGTCAATGGGAGTCCCGGCAAATGGGCTCCGGTGGATGCGGTAAGAGCGGAGACATTTATTCGCTCGCGTCTCGTGATGGATAGGTGCCGAACGCTGTGACTAAACGGGGGTATATTCACCACACCCATACGATGCGTATGGAAAAAAGTAGATGTATGATGAATGTCACGTGCTCGTCCGTGTATAATTGGAGGTGGAAGTCTGGTGTTGGGCTCACGCATGCTTGATTCCGGCGAAGAGAGGAAGTGGTCTTTGAAGGATGAAATCCAGGCTATCAAAATCGGAGCTGCCAGAGTATGACCCTGTCGCGTGATGCGAAGGAAGGAAAAGAACCTTCACGCCCCGTCCCTCGCGTGTCCGTGACGAATTTAGCCGGATCCGGGCGTTCCCTCCCCCGGGAGAGGGCAGTCAGTGGGGTTGGTGACAGCTGGACGGTAGCGATTCGGTCGTCGCACGTCGACTTTGTTATTGTTGTGATGCAATCTGAGCCTGGGATCGAATCCAATTACGAGAAGAGGAGGGAACCAAGAAAGAGTAGTCTTTGTGTCCGGAGCCGGTTTCATAGCCATATCCCGAGGCAAAGGATCACCTTGACCAACGACAGATGCCGAGCTTTCTCCCTCGCTCTCACACTCTCACACCGCTCGAGCAGGAAGGGAAGGAATAAGTACAGAGAAACTCCGAAAGTTGATCATAGTTTTTCCCTTTTTTTTTTTCCCTCGTCGGTCATTCTCCCCCGCCGCGAAACGGGATTTCCTTCCCCATTTTTCTTAAGCAGCCCCAGTAAAAATTTATCATCGTTCTCGCCGTGTTTCCTCCCTCGTTTGCCGACTGCATCGGTATGGGAAACGAGATCGGCGGGACCGGGGCCCCGAATGAAAAGGGGTGGATGCCATGTAATGGGATCCCGCATGCAGAAGCACGTTCCAGAACGCGACATGACTCAGATCCACTTCCATTGCAGGAAAAGTATCGAAGGACGACCGGATTTTTCTCTTTTTTTTTTTTTTTTTTTAGCTGCGACGGACTCCGGACTTCCGTTGTCGTAATCGCATTATCAATCCCGTCTTCCGGGGAATCGCGAAGGGCAACTCGGAATCTCTGTTATGACTCCCTTGCTATCAGTGATGCAATGCCACGAGTTCTTGGGTGCGTAGTAGTACTTAGCAAGAGACGTAGCAAGGGGGGGGGGGGGGGGGGGGGGGTCCCGGGGCAACTGTCCCCCCCCCCCCCCCTCCTGCCCCCCTCGCTACCCCTCTGGTACTTGGTTGCCCCAATGAAACATGCGACATTTCAGTAGAGAACGTTCATGTGGATGACCTCTATTTCAAGAGGTAACAGGAGCGAGAAGAGATTTTGCATCGACTGAAGATTCTCCAGCTAGAAAAAAGGAGATATCCTCGTATTGAGCCCGCCGCAGACGAGTCAATTTTTGTTGCTCCACGGTCGTGCGACCGTCGCAGATGAGATCCCGGGGGCACACGGAGCTACAGTCGAGCGACGGCAATATTTATTACAGGAAAATTGAGCTGGGGGCAATATCCTGCGATGGTCGCGCGACTATCGCTGCACCCCCGCACACGGAGCGATATCGTGTGGAACGACAAAAATTGCTTCGTGTACGGCGGGCTTTAGGGCTGAACCAGTTCGGTTGAACGTGTCAGGTGTACCCGTCTGTCAACGGTTTTGCGGCTGGTAGCTCGTCCCCAAGAAATTCCAGGGTATTCATAAACGTTTTTTTTTTTTCCCCTGAGACAGAGAAAGCTATGAACAGGTTGTTATGTATTCCACCGCCTTCTGTAATGATGTAGGGGGGGCGACCTTGTCCTTGGCAGTGGCCCATGCCCCCAGGGCCCCTGCCCCACCGCGTGTCCCCCTCCCTCTGTCCCTTCCTTCCTGCCCTCCCCTCTCTGCCCCTCCGCTCCCTGCCCCTTCCCTCCCTGCCCCCTCCCTCTCTACCCCTTCTTTCTTTTTCCTGGGCACCGGTAAAGCCTCGCAAGCGTATCGCGGGGTCCATTAATTGGTTTAAGAGCGCCTGTCATGATTTCATTCGCCTTTCACTGGGTCCACTTTCACGTCACGAATCATTGGAGCCGATCCATCCGTATGGACGACCGTTCGAACTGAATCGGTCGTTGCAGTCGACGTTGTGGTGCAGAAAGAAACTCGAGAAAGCCTGCATTTTCTTTCATTGCACCACATCACCCTCCATTCAGAGTGACTACTTTCCTTTAATAAATAAATAAAAAGGCTATCGTTTTTTCCTTGCTCGAGAAGTTAAACGATGCTCGATGGAAATTCTCTGAAACGGTGAAACTGTGTTGCAGATCTGTATCCCGACATAGGCATCGAGTGCACCCCCCTGCACAATGGCACCAACCGAGGAGAAATGACCCATTGGAAGGGCTTGTCATTCCACAACGCCCATCATCGCCAGAGGCTCACTTCTGCCATTCAGCTCTACGAGAAGGTCGGGATTCGTTTTTGTGCCCGAGATTGCCGGCTTGATTGCGATGTGTGGGACGGTTGATGAAAATGTGGCTTGTTTTTGAAGGATGAAATTAATTCCCGATACCGAATTCGAGTGAACGAGTCGCGCAGGAAAGAGATAACGAATGAATTCGCCTCGCAATTCCAGGTGTCAGACTCCTATCTGCATCACGTGGACGTCGAGTATGCCGGAGTGGGGAGGCAGCGGGAGGCCGTCGCAGCCGTTCAAGTGTGGGGGGTGCCTCCGCAGGTGGAGGGGACGGCCGTGAAGTACTCGGCGTATCACGGGATGAACGTGTCCATGCCGGATGCGCCGGTGGTTGTCCAGAACTCGTCGTTCGTTCAGAATCGAGGTGCGTCGTGGTATCCGTCGGGTGCCTGTCGCTTCTGTTGGAAGCGATAGAATTAAGTGTCGAGTCATCGGCGGGCGATCGTTCAGAGATGATCATTGCCTGTCGGTACGCGAAGGGCAATTAATGCAACGTAGAGACATTATGCTTGTGTACAAGAACGAATGCTAATCGAAACTCACGAGAACGAGTCAGTCTCTGTAAAAGTCGTAATGCGTCTCGACAGGTTACGGGCTGTACGTGAATTCCAGCCACGGCGCGGTCCTCGTCCTCTCCAGCGAACTGTCCGGGAACGGCGCCGACGGTCTCAAGTACGTCCATCACAACCGCGAGCACGACACGAAGTTTATGAACACGAACAGCTACCACGACATGTGCCGTGACTCCATACCGGCAGGGCAGTCCTACCCCGTTCGGGTCATCGCGCAGCAGCTTCGGGACAGCAACGTTCCCAGGAATTGCCTGCAGGTGCGGTCCTCGGTTTCCTGATGTGTATATATTTTTCTGGATTTCGTCACGATTCGGGTGTTTTCCGTGTGTAGACCTTCGTGGTGAACCGTGGCGTGCTGACCGTTCACTTCGTCCACATGTACACCGACGAGGACGGGAGCGGGCAGCTGGACGTGTACGACGGAATGGACGATATTCTCCTGGGTTCGTTTCGCATCAAGAATGGGTCGTATCCGGCCAGCATCACGTCGCTTCGCACGTCCATCCGACTCAAGTTCACCTGTCCGCCGTGGAAGGGAAGTGCCCTGTACATGGATATTACCAGTGGATATGGTCGGTTTCTGTTTGGTCTCGAAAGAGGTTTCGGTTTGGTGGCCTCTGGTTTATCGGTTCGTTCTCTCGCAGACAAAGCGTTCGATCTGAACGTGACGGACTCCACGATCTCGGAGAACAACGGGGCCGGCGTCCAGGTCGAGAACATGCGGAGCATGGTCCACGTCTTCGAGTCGAGGCTTTACCAGAACCAGTACACGGGGTTGCACGTGCACGACGGCGTGGGGGACGTGAACGTCTCGTACTCGGAAATCCGGCTGAACAACGGGGACGGTGTCAACATCACGCACGCGGGGGGGAGAAGAAACGTGTCGCGGTCCGTCGTCGCCGATAACGTTTTGCACGGCGTGTCGGTGTGGTACAACGAGACTTCGACGAAGATCCCGTTCCACCAAGAGACCCACGTGGAGTATTCCACCGTCTCGAATAACCGGATGAGCGGGGTCTTCGTGGGGAACTTCTGTCGATCCGCCCTGGTCAACGTCAGCGGGAACACATTCACTCGGAGTCCCTCTCAAGCGGTGCAGATCTGGTCGTGCTGGGAAGAGACAGAAAATCTCACCACGATCCAGATCGGGCACAACCGATTCCAGGACGAAAACAGGCTCGGGATTCGGCTCGAGCCGGCCGTGAACCAGAAGACGAGGATCGAGTACAACGAATTCTACGACCACACCCTGGGCACGATCCTCGTCCGCAACGGCGACATCGAAGAGGTGGAGTTCCTGCCCGCCGACATTGTCATCCGCGAGAACGCGCTGAAGAGGAATCGGGGGATCTTCGTGGTGAGCCTGGGTCTGTCGGACCTCTCCTTCCACCAGCATCTTCTCTTCACGAAGAACTACGTGCAGGAGAACGAAGTGAGCGAGCCGTTCTTGAACCTGAACTCGCGGAGCCGCGTGGCGGCGGTCGTCGTGCTCACGTCGTCTAACGTGGACGTGTTCCGGAACATTTTGCACAACGAGGAGTCGCCGTATGAGATCGGCTCGCATTACGAGGATCAGAGCGTGGCCCTCAATTGCACCTATAACTACCTCGGCTTCAAGCTGCAGGAGCGGGTGTATGCTCGCATCATCGATCGGAAGGATCGGTACAATCTGGCGCGAGTGAACTTCAAGCCTTTCTTGCTGGTCAACAACAATCCCAGCACCGATTCGGTGTCGAACGACGAGGCCTTCGTCCCCGAGTTCGGGCCGAACGCGGACAACGAGATCGGGGGAGAGATCGAGGGCCGCGTGGACCTCGACGGTCGGTCCGGGAATGCCTACAGGGTCACCAAGGACATATACGTGCGTCCGGGCAGTGGGGAGTTGTATATCGTGCCGGGGGTCACGCTGGAGTTTGAGCATTCGGTGGGGATGATGGTTGGGGGGATTTTGCATGCCGAAGGAGAGGGGCCGAATCTTGGGCAGCATATTACGTTTACCCTTTATGATCGGGCGAAGAAGAACCTTACGGATACTCCGGTTCGACTTGTGGGAGGGAAAGATACTCGGGAAGGGAGACTTCAGGTGAGGGACATTTTTAAATGTTTAATCCTGTCTGAGAATTTTATTTTCTATCCTAGTGCCTTGTATGTGTCAGGTGTACATGAATGGGCGTTGGGGGACGGTGTGTCGAATGGGATGGACGATCGAGGCGGCAGCTCTCGTTTGTCGACAGATGGGTTTGGCGCTCAATCCGTCCAACTGGCTCTTGCAGCGTTCGGAAATGCCTGCTGCTGGCATTAACGAGGATATCATACTAAGGTGACTCGATTAATCTTCGTGTCCTCGATCCATGAATCGGTGACAGCCTGCGTAAAAAGTGGCGATTTTTCTGCCCGTCATGCTAGCAATGTGAAGTGCACCGACCTGGACACTGACATCTTGGAGTGTGATGCCGAGACCGAGAATGACTTTGAGAATTCCTGCACTCACGAAGATGATGTGGGGCTGAGATGCTACGACGTGTCGTGGTCTGGGATCCGCCTCGGCATGACCGCTAGGAAGAGCACCATCAAACATGCCACGATCGAGTATGCAGGCCTCTTTGACCATGCCCTAAACTCCTTCAAGCCAGGTGAGAAGCATTTATCGTGATGAAGCAGCATGGCTTTAGATGTCAGAGTTGTTTGAATAGTGCCATATCATGCTGTGTTTACTTCCTTGCAGCCCTTCAGGTGGACTTTAACCGTCACATCCTGGAGCACTTGAAGATTGCAGACAACTGGGACAATGGTCTTGGGATTATACATTCAGACATCTACTCGTTTGACCCCAGGATGAATTCGCTTGCCCATTCGACAATCAACTCCAATCGCGGGAATGGGATCACAGTGCGGACTCTTGGTCTACAGGTTTCTGGTCAGTCAGAGTGTCAGGCGTTTGGCGATGGTCTTTTGTCTTTGTGATGGATCCATCTGAAAGGATTTCCTTTGACTTTTTAGACTGTGAGGTGCACCACAATACACTGAGTGGCATCCAGTACCACCCGTATGTGTCGAGGAAAGAGCAGCGAGAGATTCTCTCCTGGCTCCGTATGGCCCCCAATCCCACCTACATTCTCCCAAACATGACCGAATCGGAACTCAAGCTGGACACGTACGATCCCGTCTTCCTGCGGACGAGCCGCAACATCCGTCAAGGAATAACCAAACAGCTCCGTGTCTATGTCAGTCTCCCCTGCCCACTGTTATGAAACTTTGATTTTGTATGTGAGTAGTTTTCATTTAGCAAGATTTACCGTGTTCTTCCTTCAGACGAGGCAGGAGAATGTGATAGCCATCTATGTCCTGAATCCAATTCACTATCGGTCGACAGAAAATATAGTGATCTATGACCACGTTCGCATGCCCCAAGCTGATCGCATCCTGGATCTTAGGAAGGAGCTACTTGCCTTTCCTTGCAATTCTAGCTCCTATGCTTTCTACCTGCAATATGACAGTGGAAACATGGCTGTCGGCGATGTGTACATCATGCTCAAAGCTGTCAGAGGTTAGTTGATTACATGCTTCAAGTCATAATAGAGCTTGTTTTTAGACCCTTCTATTGATGGGAAAATTATTCATATTTTAGTACAAGACTTGCCAAAAATCGTAGGGAACTATCCTGGACCTATTCCAACCCTATCTGTAACAGATTCTCAAATCTACAAGAACCGTCATGCTCTTTCTGCCATCCATTACAACAAGTGAGCCAACCTGCATGATTCTGATGTGCTTGGAAAGGTGACCAGCTGTTACAATTGGTATTTCCTTCTGCTTTATCCCACAGGTACTTGAGCGATGGGAAGGACCATTATTTACGAGCCCTGAAAGGATATGTCCGCTTTGTGGACAGTTCCCTCTCAACCAACGATGAGGAAGTTGTCTTCATCCACACTCCTTTCAGGGAGATGGATTTTGGGGCCAACATGTCAGAATTCTTTTACATGTTCAACCGCACGCTCTTCACTGAGAATCGCAAGGGAATTGTACAGTTCAGCAGGTATGCTCCATTATTTTCTGTTCACTAAGTCAGTTGAGGAGTTTTATGACGTTTTTTCCTGTTTCATAATGACCTCTCTCTTGCTAGCCAGACATGCCCGATGGCTGTGAGTTTTGGCGCTGTTTTAATTAAGTAACATTAATTCCCTGGGTTTTATTTTTTCATTTAGAAATGCTGTTGATAGTTTTATCATTTGCATGTTGGTTTGAGCAAGTTCAGAGTTTCTCCAGTTTGTTTGTTTTGTTTTTTTTGCCATGTAGCTACTTGTAATAGTTAAAGCTATAAATGCTTCATGAAGAATGTTTTCATTTGGAATTTCAGAGATGCAAGAGAATCCAACAACCTATTTGATTGGGTCTTTCGAGATGACACCTTTGAAGGAAACAAGGAAGGTGGCATTAATGTCTTCCTCCCTTATGTCTGGCAATACAATGAGAACTACACCCATGCAGTTTTCCTTCATAACAACACATTTCGGGACAACAAGCGATTTGAGGTCGTTGTGGATGGGCATTTTGCACGCATGGATGTCACCCAAAACTCCCTTGAGAACAATCAGTGCGGTGCAGGCCTTTTTGCTGTAAGAGGCATGGAGAAGCAGATGCACATTTCAGAGAATTTGATCAATAATAACATTGGGCAGTACATGGTGGAGTTCAACATTGACAGCCAATCAGAAACATCAGGTAAGTAGATTGTAGAGCTCAGTTGCTCTACTGCTTTACACATTTTATAGCCCTTGAAAAAGGAATTAATTCCATTTTGTGGTACACAGGAATGGTGCCAGCCAACTTCAGGCGGAATACAGTGACCAACAATAGATTTGTGACCAAGGCTCGGATACGGATTGTGGGCTATGAACCAGCCAGCTACACAGTAGGTCTGAAAGGAGTGCAGAAGATCAACATCACTCACAACATCTTTGACCACAATGACCTGGACTACCAGTTGCTGGCTGGTATCAAAACAGCCAACATCAAGACCTATGTCAAAGTCACCCATAACTGGTGGGGGTCATCATCCATGGAGGAAGTAAAACAGCGTATCTTTGACTTTGATGACTGGAATTCATATGCAGTGGCTCACTTCAGTCCATTCTACATACAACCACAGTTCGATGCACCATTGTCCCTGGGTCTAGAGAAACAGGGAGAGATTGATTTTGATCGCCTTGGGGGTCGACTGTTCAAGGATCTGGTGCTGGAGAGACGAAGCCGACCATACATAGTGAAATCAGACCTAACTGTTATGCCAGGGGTAATGCTGACTATCAGACCTGGTGTGGAGATGGAATTCTATCCTAGTGTTGGGATCCTGGTTTTGGGAACCCTACGAGCCATGGGGCAAGAGGGGAACACGATCAAGATGCGCCCAATCAAGACGAGCGAGATCGATCCCTTCCCCATCGGACGCCATGGGCGTTCCCAGCCGAGGGCAGAGGATGTTGGAGTTCGGCTTTGCATCGAGGGCGAATGTAAGCCTGACATGAGGCAAGGATTTGTTGAGATCTACAACCGCACAACCCTCCAGTGGGTACCAATGTGTGATAAGAGGTTCTCAGAGCGCAATGGGGAGGTGATCTGTCGCACCCTAGGCTTTGAGACCCTCAATGTCTTGTATGCATATGGACCCAGGCTAGAAATGCATCCCAATTCTCTGGACCGAGTCATCTCATGGCCTGAACCTCTGCAATGTGAAGGTCTGTTTTCAAGCTGTCAATGATTGGAACTGACTGGCCTGTAAGGGGTATAATTATTTATTGTTCCATTTTAATCTAGGGCATGAGAGCAAGTTAGAAGAGTGCATGATCAGAATGAACGGCCAGATATTTGGTGAGACATATGAATGCGAGTATGATCGTGACTTTCTGTTTCTTCACTGTGGGAAGCGAAATCTTGACAACAACACTGAGTACTGGGGAGGAATCAGGTAGACAATCTTATAGTACTGGTGATTTCGTCATCAGCTGTTGTCTATGGTATTTCATGATTTTTGTCATTTCCTTCGGTCTTTACAGATTCTCAATCCCAGACTTTGAGCAGACATTGGTTTTTCGAAGGATCCATGATTCAGAGACTCATAATACCCTTCACATTGAGGAGTCTGTATTGGAGCATGTAGAAATTAGGTACACATCCTGTTGTTTCTTGATTCCCTGGTTGTTTTAAAATGCTTCCCACCAACATACATTATATTTCTTCAACAGAGGAGCAGGTGTGTTACATGGAGAACTGGCACCAGCAATAGAGAGTGTGCTGCAGACACCTCGTCTCTGGCATGTTCATATCACTGACAGTGCATGGCATGGTATCAACATCATTGCCCCTCTAGAGCACATGAAGTTGCTGCACAACCGGTACAATTTCCATCCATTGTCTTTTGAAGTCATCAGTCATGACTTGTCTGACACCTCTTTCCCATCCTTCCAGAATTGAAAATAATCTAGGTGTGGGAATCAATACCTTGGTGCTGAATGGAGAGGGCCAAGAAGATGCTATGAGTTCATTCACTCCACTTAGTTCAGCCCCACTTTCATATGGCCTCTTTGGCTTACTTGATATCTGTGATACCCATAAAGAGATGATTGTTGAGCAAAGAATCCTCCTCTACTATAAATACAACAATCGCCCTGTTGATTGTGTGAAGATTTTCAAGTCCATCTATGACATCAAGAACTTCGGATTCAGGTAGTCTTACTCGTCTTACTCGAAACATCGAGCAAAGCATTTACTTGTGCAATTTATAATCATCTTTTTATTTCTGGGCTCCACATCCATTGACATGTTGTTTGCTTTGCATATTACAGGTTTCTGTACTTCAATCTGTACAATTCAACGGGAAAGCCTGGTACCCCAGACAAGATCCAGTTGTATGATGGAGATGTGTATAATGTCACTTCTGAGTTGCTTGGAGAGGTGATCATGGGCCAGCACACAGGTCGGGAATTCCACACGACCAAATATACAAGTCTAAGTGTAAAACTCCATGCATCAGGTGGCAGTGGAGAGCTGGGATTCATTGCTGAGGTCATCACCCTTCCTGTGTCTTCCATTAGCTTTGGTAAGACTGGTCTTCAATGGAATTGAATGAATTGCTGGGGATGTACATCCTGATAAAAAAAGAGAAATACTTTGTGATTTCATCAGGTCGGGATATGCAGCACAACATATCGTACTCAGTGATTCGCAATAACACCGGAGGTGCTATCTCATACAGTAGTGCTGGTGAAGTGAATCCAACTCTCACTGTTGAAAGAAATCAGTTTGATATGAATGGGAAACTTCTGTATGGAAATTTCACCACTTCCAAGGCTGCTGTGGTCCTTGATCTCCAGAATACACCTAATGTCTACTTCAAGGTTCTCACAAGTCTTACCTTATTTTGTTAGGTCCAGTTCTTGAATAAATGATTCTATGATGTTCCTATCTTAATCTAGAACAACTTGGTGAGAGGAAATCAAGGAGGCTTATGGATTCGTGCAGACTCAAATAATGCTGCCACAGCATTAAAAGCCACCATAAGCAATTGTCTCTTGACTGACACCTATAATAATGAAGCCCTGCTTGTGAGAGGACGAGGAAGTGGATCGTACCAGGAAGTGACCATGGTGTACACTTACATCACCCGATCTTTCATTCCCTACAGGGATGTCATCTTACTTGATCAGGTGATAATTTTTTTACTACCTAGCAAAGTTTTTTTCCATTTATAGATGCTTTCATGTACTTAATGGGCTGTGCTTTAGGTGGTGTCCAACCTGAGCTACAATTATATTCATTACAATCAAGGAAGGTACATTATGAGTGTCCTGGGATTCAACAAAGTGCGACTCCCAATCTTTCAAACCATCATTCACAATGGCTTCTATAAGTCAGTCCCAAATAGATGCTCAGTTTTTTTTATTTTTCTGTTTGATAGATATTGAAGAATCACCATTTTTTTCTCTTATGTCAATGGCAGCAATTTTGCTCTGGATCGAGATCGACCTGTGACAATTGTGGCTGGGAGTGCTGGTCAGCAATATGTGGACAATGTGTTTGTCAATCCATATAATGCCCTTGAACTCATGACACTCAATGTGTCCAAGTAAGCTGAACTTTCTTGATTTTTTTCCACATCTGTGTAAGGACTATGAATATTGCATGGCTCTGCATGTGCATGATGATGACAGTATGGCTGCATGTCCTTCTTTTGCATGTACTGACACTTCTAACTTCTCTCCTAAAATTCCTGCATCCCTTCAGCTGGTGGGAAATGTAAGTGATACTACTTAAATTTGTATATTGGTAGCTGTTTATAGCATTTCTGCTTTGCTCTACATGCTCTCAATTGCATCCTCTACTCCCCTGCTTTGTTTTCATGGCTGAAAAAAAGTGGAGTAACAAACTCATAATGACTGGCTTTTTTTTTTCATACAGAAAAGATGTGTGGAAGACCCCAGTGGATGCCTCACATAATTGGTGGGGCTATAACAACACTGTTACAGTCCAGAGTCGCATTCGGGACAAAAGTGATGACAAGGACCTCCTGGAAGTCACATTCCGTAATTTCCGCAGGAACAACAGGTGAAAATGATTCACTTTCATATTCGTTTTTCTATACTGCTCCATTGTTCATATTCAAGAGGCCCCCCTCCCTCCCTCTTTCAGAACTCTGCTGAGTGGGAAGTGCCCCCCAGGTCACACACTGATTGGAGAGACTTGCTTCATCTACATTGGAGCCCCAATGACATTCCAGGAAGCAAAGACATTCTGTCACCTGGACAATGCCTCTATGCCCTATCTGCAGAAAAATTACCCATCTGTTTATCAATATATAAGGACCCAACAGATGGACTTTGAACGATATGATATGGTCTGGGCACAGCACTATGACATCATCAGTGGATGCTCTGTCTTCATTGATGGTCGCATTCAAAGGGCTAATTGTGAATATAGATTGCCTTTCCTTTGTGAAACTGGTGAGTATTTCAGTTTGTGAGAGATTGCATTAGTCTCCAGAATCCTAAGTTAGACGGAAGGTAATTTATGTCATGTTTTCTTCACAGACACACGAGTAGAGATCTCTCCATTGTCATGGCTCTCAGATGGCATCACCCTAGCTGCTATTGGAGCCACAATTGGAGCCTTACTTCTTGTTCTTCTTTGCCTTGGTTTCTGGCTTGTCAAGTCCCGACACCGTCGGCAGGAAAAACTGGAGAGACGCAATTCCATCCGTGCTTCTGTTCGATCTAATCGTTCATTCATGTCCAGCACCAGTGGGTTGTCAGATTACCCATTCCGTCAACGTATGATGAGTGTGAGTGTCATTTCAGGATTGATGTCCTGCTGTATTTATAATGGGTGTCCCAGCAAAATGATCTGCTAAATTTTTTGGCATATTCAAATTTTTTATTATCAATGGATATATCAAGTTAGCCAAAGAAAAGAAATAGAAGTAAAACCTTCCTCAATAATGTTATTTTTCATTGTGATAGTTATAAGTTGCAAGCCCATTTCAAAATGTTTAGACATGAAATATCAGAACCCTGTTGGAGTGGGTACAGATCTTAGCTGAGCCTGGAGCCCAACCTAACCAACAGATATCCCATTGTGAAGATGTCACCAAGAGCCTCCCTAATAGCAGTTAAGCCTCGCATGCAGAGCAGAGCCTAGGGCCTGATTATATTACGGCAAACTTGGAGGTTCTTTTCTTAATTTGTAAACAATTGCAAGTGAATATAAAACTTATGGGGACAATTGCCTTCTACCCTTTGCTATTAAAAACGCTCATCATTCACTTTGCAATATTTAAAGTTTTATTAAATGTAAGCTTTTTCTGAGTCACTAAGTAGTTTCTTTTCCAACCTCAAAAACATTGGCTTCTTCGGGTTCTCTCTTTTCCTCCCTATCTGTCAGAAACTGTTATAAATGGCTTGGAGCCTTTAAATAGGCATTCATACATTTACCTATGTTTTGGTTTCTACATTTGCAGGACCAGAAGTCAACAGCATCTCAGCTGACTGGCATTACAGACATGGGGAAGATGAACGGAAGCTTGGATTCCATGGAGAAAGTCCCATCACATATGTCGTCACTGGATGCCACCCAGTCCCAGTCGTTCGACACGTATGAGACCCGCAATCCCACCATGGGTTCCTTTGCCGACACTGCCAGTGGTGTTACGCATCCGGCCTTTGACCTGACGTTCGAGAACCGTGCCTTCCGGGACGTGACGCTCTCGGCTGCGAACTCCCGTCAGCCGTCGCGGGAATTCTGGGATGGGAGCACCAATACATCGACATTCAAATACCACACCCCATCGGAACTAGACTCGACGGCAGACCTGAAGCGCAGCTTCGACCTTGGACATCGAGAGGTGGAGGGGAAGGAGGAATCACCTCCTCCACAGCGTAGTCCTCGTGGCTTAAGGCGACCCCCCTCCATGCCCCCCTTTCCCCCCACAAGCCCCATCTATGTGGGTCTCACCCCTGCTCAGAGGACAAAGAGCCAGCCTCTGGAAACTGCCATGTGATTTCATCATCATGACGTGTCTTTTCTCCCCATTGTGATATTTCCTCCCTGACCTGTGCACAAGCTTTCTTGCAAGACATTCCAGTGAAGCTCACAGAAGATATACCTCCAACACGACAAATGAGCGAGGGTGCTGCCTAGATTGGAGAGTCTTCCTATAAAGGAACCCGAGTCCGTCCTGCGTTTGCTCGAGACATTCTTGCGTCCCTCTGGAATGATTTCTCGAGGATAGCAGTCAACTTGATGCCTTGCTCATTTTTTATAGAATCAAAACCTTTACTGAGAAGATGAGTACGAAGGTAATTCACTAAGGCGTGTTGTCGTTGATCTCATTATTTTTGTTTGAAAAAAGGCGAGTAAACTACAGGCATTGTTCTATTTGTTCTTCTTGCCTTTTCCTGTTAGTCTTAGTTCTTATATGTATTATTAGGTCTTATTGCACACTGTGATGAGTTTCATGATGAGAGAGAGCGAATGTGCTTTTTCTACAAAAAAAGACAATTATGCAAATACAGATGATTTTTTTCCATTAATCCTCTCATTTGATGAATCAGGTTCCCGTCATGCGGTTCCTGCACATGCCTACACGTGCTAGTTCATTTTCAGGGGTTATCTGAAAATTGGCTTGCATGGTAACTACTTATCTTCTACAACCGGTCCGATTCAAGGTTTGGTTGGGGGTGTCAAAAGACGAATCCGCCCATTACGACACCCCTGGTCGAGGTCGAGCTTCATTATCATAAGACCACCCAAAACCGGGATACCCGCACCCCTCGCTTACGTGATTTCTTCTGGGATATGCTTTCGGCCTTCCCCACGTTCTTTGACGATCCACAGATAGTGACGGGAGCTTTTCGTGCTGTGGCATATTACCAAACTTTTCATGAAAATAATCTAGTTCGAAATTTCTGCCTGGAACAATGACAGAAACATCACATCATCCATTCCTATTCCTGGCAAGTCCGAGCCGTCACTAGAATGTTCACTTTTTCCATATGGAGGTCGAAAGATTTCTTTTTGCATGGACCACTTTGCCTTCCAGCCCTTAATATGTAACCTGAGAAGGGATAAATATTTATACTTGTTCTCATGGATACTCATTTATTCAGGCACAAGATTAATAAAACTCTCCTGGTTAAATGTTTAACCCGCTCAATCGAAAAGGATATAGAGAATTCATCGCACTTAAGCATACGATTAACCCTTCTAAATGGCGATTCACAGTCATATAACCGTTTTTAGCAATTTATCCTTCGCCTAGGTTAAACCCTGAACCCTTTTTGCCCAGCCCCACCCCCTCCCCCCTTCCTCAAGGGGTATTCACGCCTACGAAACAGACTTTTAACGAGTGGCACTCGTATCTAGTATCGACCGCGACCCTGTGCGTATCGTCCGTGAAGTCCATCTCCACCACTTTTCATGTAGTCCTGAGTGAAAAATGCGGAGAGAAACGGGATGGTTACGACGCGGGCGACGTCGTCTTTCCTATCCGAGGGTAAGCGCTCTTGTTCCATACAGATGAGATCCCGCCGTTTTCACCCTCGGGAATTACTCTCCTCGTGAGAGTGCCGATCGATAAGAAGACGAGGTTATGGTTAATATATGGGCGGAGATCTCGGCGAGGAAGTCATCCTTCTTCCAAGGATTTAAGGGGACTCCGATAGTAGCACGCGGGGACATTTCACACGTCCCTGCGGAAAAGTCCGTATCGGACCCCCTAAGTAGGTAACGGAGGGTGTGCGTAGAATGCCTCTCTCTCCCGTTGTAGTGTAATGGAGAGGTTCCACCGAACGTCTTCAGTTCGGTAGTGAAGTGGTAGTACACTTGCCTAGCAAACAGGAGGCCCTGTTTACGCCCACCCGCCTGCTCTATACTATTCTTTCGTCCTCTTATGCGATCTCTCTTCACCCCCCCCTTCACTCCCAAGAATCACCGAATGGGACTCTTTGTCCCATTCGGTGTGAACACCTGATGCATTACCGAGAAGAAGGCGACATGTTCCTGAATAGCAAGATCACCGGCGATGAAACGTGGTGGGAAGTCCCATTCGCCGATTCTTTTGCTCGTCTGTGAGCCATTCTGCCACCCACCTACCGCACACCTTTCCGCCCGAGAGTCTGTCCCGAACAATAGTGGGCGCATTCAGTTGTGACTCGATCTAACTGAGCGAGTCATGTGACTCGGGGTATAGCCCACTTTGACGTCTGACGCAATCTTCTGAATGCGTTGGGTCATTTAATCAGCGAACTTTAGCTGCTTTTCTGTGTAGTAGCAACAACAGAGGGAGTTGAAATGAGAAAATTGTGCAGAGGTACAGAATGCTCTTCAAGATCAAGTTACCTCTCCGGGATATTCACAGTGCCCGAGTTCGACCTCACCCTCTTGTTTATTGCATCGTGGTGCCACTCGAGGTGGTCGTCACCTCGGCCAGCGATAAAAAATGTTCCATACCAAATTGGAATCTCCTCGAAGTAAATTTGAGAAGGCCTATGCACTTCTCAAAAGCAATTTCGGGATATTACAATTCACATTAGCTAGGTGAAAGAAAGGAGCAGCCGTCGTGACATCCTTTTGCATCATTCACAACTTCATTT